CGAGGCAGCATCTCCGGTGTTACCTATGCGCCATCTTGGTTCACCCCTTCTGGCCTATTAAATATAGTTCCTCATGTTGTGGTGACCCCCAACCATAAAATTATTTTTGTTGCTACTTCATAACTGTAATGTTGCTACTGTTATGAATCGTAATATAAATATCTGATATGCAGGATGGTCTTAGGCGACCCCTGTGAAAGGGTCGTAGGACCTCCAAAGGGGTTGCGACCCACAGGTTGAGAACTGCTGCTTAAGGGTGAGAGCCAGCGCAGAGGATTATGGGAAAATAAGGCCAAGCTTCAAAGTCCCTGCTTGGCTGCTGTGGTGGCCAGGAGGCAGGGAGCAGGCTGAGCTTCAGAGCAGATCATCCGGCAGACACTCACCCTCTTGTACTCAGGAGGGTCAAACCTAGGACTCCAATGCTTGTGCTTGACCTTCCAGGCCTGCCGCCTGCCCTGCCCCTTTCCGAGCCGCAGGTGATGGCTATTGTTCTGACTTGCGGATTCGTCCTAAACAAGGGCCTGGTGTTCTCAGTCCTGTTTGTCCTTCTCCGGAAAGCCAGGGCCTCAGGTGAGTGGGGGCTGAGGCCAGGCTTGGGGTGGAAATGAATGAGGGGACCCAGATGGTAGCTGCAGACAAGAGCTCAGAGGGGCCCTGTCCTAGGGGTTGACTTTCCCCCCTTCTTTGCCCAGGAGGCAGGTCCAGCCCCGGGAACCCTGTGAATGGCGCTGGGCTGGGCTCACCAGGACAGGAAGACCTGGGGGTGGGAGCGGCCAGCATGGTTTTGGCTGCTGGGCAATCCAGTCTTTTCTTCAGAGGAGGGAGTGAGGCTGAAGCCGGGACTGGCATGGATGGATCACATGCAAATGCTATCTATTTCTCTCACTCCTCAGGTGAGCCAAACCCAGGGGAGCAGCAAAATCACCCTTCCAGGAGCTGACGGGCATGCCTTCCTCCACTAGCAAACATCACATTCGCTCTTGTTCCCCAAACGAACAAACAAATAAACTTATCTCTCAGGAATGTAAAAGGCTTCTGAAACTTCTTTTGTGAGGTCTCTGCCCAGCGCCTTTCTTATTGAGAGAAACGTACTGAGCGGAAAGTGTGGGGAGCTGGGAGGAAGGAGAGCCACTGAACTAATCAGAGGCCCAAGAAAATGCCAAACTATCTACACTAATAAAAGAGAAACATGGTAATTAGCGTACGACTGCTACCCTTCCCATTGGCTAATCAGCATATCCTTATGCAAATTAACTGTCAGCCAAGATGGCAGCCAGCAGCCAGGCAGCTGGAAGCTAACATGAGGCTTGCTTGCTCCAGGGACTGCAGACTCCAATGTTCCCCGCCTGACTTGCTGGCCTCTGAGCTGGCAGTTTGAAACATTCTAACAAATATAGGCCGGGATCTCAGAGCTGGAATTATACATTGTTTCGATTATAGAACCGAAACAAACCAGATACCTGCTCTCAGAGCTAGAGCCAGAGCTAAAGCTGGCCCAGAATAAAAATAAAAAAAAGGAGCGGTTGGGAGCTTCAATCAACAACCGCCAGCCTGAAAGCAGCCCTCAGCCCCTCAGCCAGACTGGCCAGGCACCCCAGTGGGGACCCCCACCCTGAAGGTGTGTGACCAGCTGCAAACAGCCATCATCCCCTCATCCAGGCTGGCCAGGCACCCCAGTGGGGACCCCCACCCTGATCCAGGACACCCTTTCAGGGCAAACCAGCCGGCCCCAGGCCTCTATCCTATATAGTAAAAGGGTAATATGC